CAGACATACTTTGTGCCATCAACCGGACTGATTTTGACAACTTTTTGGCTAAGGAAAAGGGCTTCTTCAAGTACATCAGTAAGAGAAAAAGCAGGGAAAATGTGGGCCTGCTGCTGAATGGAGCAGGGACCCTGGCAACAGAGGATGCAGAGAAGGCAGAGATACTGAATGCCTTCTTTGCTTCAGTCTTCATTGCCAAGACCAGCCCTCAGGAATCATTATCCCAAGAGACCAGGGAAACATCTGGAGATGTCTTTCCCGTATTTGAAGAGGATTGGTTTAAAAATCATTTAGTCAAACTTGACATCCACATGTCGAAGGGCCCTGACGGTGTGTACCTACAAGTGCTGAGGGACCTGGCAGACACCATTCCCAGGTCACCTTCAATCATCTTTTAAGGGTCATGTCAATCAGGAGAGGTGCCTGGGGACTAGAAGATAGCTAATGTCACCCCTGTCTTTAAAAAGGGCAAGAAAGAGAACCCAGGGAACTACAGGCTACTCAGCCTCACCTCCATACCTGGAAAATGATGGAACAGCTCATCCTGGAACCAACCTGTAAGCACATGAAGGACAAGAAGATGACCAGGAGTAGTCAGCACGGATTCACTAAAGGAAAATCATGCTTAACCAACCTGGTTGCCTTCTGTGATGGGAAAACCAGCTGGATAGATGAGGGGGAAGCTGGGGATGTTGTCTACCTGGACTTAAGCAAGGCTTTCAATACTGTCTCCCATGACATCCTCACAGAGGAGCTCAGGAAGTACAGGCTGGATGAGTGGAAGGTGAGGTGACTTGAGAACTGACTGAATGGCAGGTGTCAGGGGTTGTGATCAGTGGCACAGGGTCTGGTTGGAGACCTGTAACTAGCGGTGTACTCCAGGGGCCAATACTGGGTCCAGTGTTGTGTAACATACACCCATCAATGACTTGGCTGAGGGACCCCAGGGAGCTGTGTTGTCATTCAGAAAGATCTAGACAGGCGTGAGAGAGGCAGGTGGGAAACTTTTGAAATACAACAAAGGCAAGTGCAGGGTCCTGCACCTGGGAGGAACAACCCCATGCACCGGCACATGTGAGGGGTCAACCTGCGGGAAAGCAGCTCTGTGGAGAAGAACCTAGGGGTCCTGGTGGGCAAAACATTGTCCATGAGCCAGCAGCAATGTGCCCTTGTGGCCAAGCAGGTCAATGGTATCCTGGGCTGCATCAGGAAGAGCACTGCCAGCAGGTCAAGGGAGGAGATCCTGTGAGGGTGGCAGAGCACTGGAACAGGTTGCTCAGAGGGGTTGTGGAGCCTCCTTCCCTGGAGATGTTCAAGAACTGTCCAGACACAAATCTGAGTTATGTGCTCTAGGTGACCTTGCTTGAGTAGGAAGGTTGGACTAGATGACCTCTGGTGCTCCCCTCCAGCCTCAATCATTCCATGATTCTGTGACAACAGTGGCAACATTCCAAAGGTAGCTCAAATAAACATACTGTTTCCTAACTTGCCCATCAGAGCCTAACTGAATTTTCAGATTCTTCCCCATGATTCTTATAATTGTAAATTTAATGTCATGGGCCCATCCTGGCAGTGGAGAAAAGGTAAGAATACCAGTAACACTTAAAATCAGACATCCTCAACCCTCTAAGGTAAAAATTATCACCATCTAAAAGAATAAAATAGTCTTAGTGGTGCTCAAGAAATTATTGCTATACCCAGCTAGCCTCACAAACTGTATCTTAGTAGTTCACCAATTCTTTTTCTAGAAGTAATCCCATTGAAATCTTTCTTAAGTATCCCATTCAGCCAGTTAGAGATAATCATACCACTTGGTCAATTTATGGTTTTCAGGAAACACTACTGTCAAATATTACTGTCCAGGATCAAAAAAATACAGCTGAGTAATTTGCATGTTGTACCAACCAGACCACAGAACAAAAATCATTGTGAACTTCTGCTTCATTTAAAAAGCCTGCTTGAGAGAGGCATAAAGAAAATAGATTCTTTTTCTACATCTTATTTGGTGCTGATAAGGCAAATATGAAGACAACAGAGACTCAAACGACAGAAGATTTGGATGGAACTGAAATGTCTGTCAGACTGCACCATTCCCCATTCTTCCTACTCTCTGAAGAACAGTAGCGTAAAGATGACAGTCTTATGGTTGATGAAAAATCTAGCACAGGTAACTCACAGATGGTGCTAAAGAAGAAACAGAAGTACCATAATGAGCTCCTGGCTTCTTGGATTTAACCATCCACTGATCATCTGACATTTAGTCAGGAACTGAAACCATTACAGCCCCCACAGCCTGTCTTTATCATGTGCGAGGTCAAGTTCTCAGGTTTGTTCACTCTCTTCAGTGACATGGGAGTGACCCCTGTAAGATCACAACCTGAGAGAGCGAACCTCTTTCCCTGGCGAGGTGGAGGGGGTACAGTTCTCACTAAGAGTTTTGGAAGGGGAGATGGAGTGGCTGGGCTGTTTATAAAGTGCTCAAACCCAACAGCAGGTAACAGCTATCAGTCCCATCCTTTCCGTCCCATACAGCTAATCTAAAACAAACAGCTCCCTTCACTTCCTCTGTGGTCTATAAGATGAAGTGTTGAAAGGAACACTTTTGAATGTCTGCATCCTATATACCATAGCATGGTCCCTATCACAGGCCTTCCTAGCTGAGTCATAAAAGGCACCAAGAAGTACTCCTGTATTTAACAGAAGTGTAACATCTTCCAGTTCTACAAAACAAAAACCCCAAACCTCCACTATGAGTATCTCTGTTACATGATACAATTACCAGTTTCATCTTCCCTAACAGCTAGCATGCATTTTGGTGCTCAGATACTGTGGTGTGCACGGAAAGCAGTGTCTCATCCATTTTTCTGAATGTTTTGAACTTACAAGACTTTCCTGCTTTTAAAGCAAGGTCCAGGACTGTACAACTTTTTAAGATGCACATTTATACATAAATAATGCCTTACATACCCACATTCACCTCAAACAGTTTTCTGTTTTTTGAGTTGGCTTTTTCTAGAACTAATATTTGTGGTCAGAGAAAGGAGGAACAATGGAAACAGAGCAAAACATGAGATCACTGCAAAATATTTCGATGTTTTTTCCCATCAGGATGTCCATTCTTTCCTGACACTGTGGTTACTGCTAGGTACAGTTTAAGGGCCAATCACATATTTGATTATGCCATTCTACATAAAAAAAGAAATAAAAGGATGGTTCCTCACAGAGAAAGCCTGTTGTGAGCGATCATGGAGTACCTAAACTGGCATTCAGCTGCAAACCTGCTTCAGTGTTTTCAAAGCTGTTTCCAAAGCTGTGTCCCTCCCCATGGTAATTAGCCCTGCCCCTCAGTGAAAATACATAGTGCTGTTCATCACAGTTTGGGAAGTGACACAAAATGAACATGGAGCATGAAGTAAGAACTGAGCATTTGTTAAACAGACAGCAGACATAGCTTCCCCTTTGCTGCGTGCCTCACACTGTGCTTTTGAGGGACTAGTCTGTGTCATTAACCCTCTCCCTTGTGCCTGTGGAGAAAACACGTACCACTTAGCCAGTCTGCTCCTCATGATCTCAGATATGCAAAGACTTCCTATAGTGGAAACATGGTGCAAGATCTTTTATTTATCTTTAAACCTTTTATAAACCTTTATCTTTAAACATTTTTGCCAAACTCACTAGGACTTTTACGATAATGTCCTGTCAGACTGTGTTAGAAATTTTATCAGTATCAAAATCTAACAGTGTAACTGCTTGTTCCACAGCCACAGGGAAATACTGTATCACAGAAGAAAACTAAACGAGGAAGACATCACTTGCCCCTGAGAAACTCCTCAGTATATACTGGGAGTTTACAAACTTTTTTCATGGTTCCTGAGTTTGTGGGCATAAAAGTCACCTCTTTGAAACTTCAGTCTTTCTCAGTTTGCAGTGTTTTACCAACAGTCAGGTGTTATGCGATTCCAAACTGCCTCTCTTGATGAAGTTTCTCTCTCAGAAGTTTGGAGAAAAAGGCAAGTCTGTGTAGAGTAAAGTAATTCCTTCATCTCTGGAACAGAAACCTGTCAAACTTCTTCCATGTGTAACTGGCTCCTGATGCTGCAGCTGGTATGAGCCTCAATCAAAGCCCACCCAGAACTTGATCACTGCTTTGCTTTCTTTCCTGGGTATGTTCTCTGTTATTTTAACAACAAGGTTCTTGAGACAGCTTGTCCCAGAGGCTTGGCTTCTCTTCCTAACCATCTGTCTTGCACAGCTTGTAGGAAATTATGTCTAAGCCTCTTCCTCTGTCATATCTGGTCAAAAGAAACCAGAAGCTCTGAAGTTATCAGAAAAAATTCAGTGCTATGATGACATTCTCCTGGTTTCCATGGGAAACCATGTCAATAATCTCCAGATACAGCAGGCTGAGTAACAGGATGATATATGAGCCAATTCACCAGCTGTTTTTGACATCTTACCAACTGCAAGAGATTAACTCTGGGTGAGTAATATTCTTGAATTATAGCTATGCTTTCACACAACAGTTATTTCAAACCAGATCACATTGGCTTATGGGGATCTGCAAACGTCTCAAAAAAGGTCTTTTACGTGGGGTGAGAGGAAATGTGGTAAAAGGGAAGCAGGAGCAGAGAGGGAGATGCAAAGCTACTATGTAGCCTAAGTAAGGAGCACACTGTTGGGTAACAAACACTGAAGATACACACTTTGTTCTCCAAGTACTTACTCTGACACAGATTTTTCGATTTGTGGAAACACAGGCCACTCATTCTTAGTGATTCCTTGACACTTATTGACTCCTGGGCTTGCAGTTTTCCAAGTATTTGCTTTACCTACAAAAAATCAGTTTGGTCCCTATTTCATTTATTAATGGTCTTCAACAGTCTCCCTCCTCCTTTAAAAGCCAGAACTCCTGAGTGAGGAAGGTTATCCTTCCTATACTTCAAGGCATTAGGCAGCTGCATTCTTTTCCACAAATACAACGTATGAAAAGGCAAACAATATTTGTTTCAAATGCAATTTAATGTTGCAAAGTATTACATGCTTTCCACAAACATTCAGTATACAGACTTCAACAGAGATGAAGAAAAACAAAAACCCCAACATCACTCCTTACATGCTACTTATTGAATTTTAGTGACTGTGAACTGGGCAAGTGTTTGCCATCACAGAGAGCTAAATACCCTTTCTTGAATAACCTGAAGTTTAACCTTCAAGGAATGATGGGTTTCACACACCAATATACAGAATCGACATTATACTCAACACAATATTGCATCCCACTATTTAAACTAAAATACTAATTGAACCTAAAGACTACAAACCCACACACTTCCTGCCAGCAAGGGAAGAAAGCATTTTGAGGCTTTAAAATCTGAGGGTGCATATAAATCATTTTATCTCCAACATAATGCACTTACTTGTGCATGTTTATTCCTGTGTATGATCAGGGCAGTGCACAAACCCCCTGTATGCCAATCACATACTTCTTTGGGTACTAATGTTATCATGAAAGTTCACTCTGTAAAGCTGTGAATCTGATAAAAACTGCCCTTTTCTTACCTTTTTGAAACAAGTGTAGCCTTTGTCATAACATATAAGTTAATATTAATTTAATATAAAATGCAGTAGCTACACCAAGAAGTTGTGGGCTGTTATTACAGTGGAATACTCCCAACTAATTCTATAGTGGAGATCAGATAGTGATCTTTGTTTGAAGAGTACAAAGGCCAGAGGTTAGTTAATAAAAATACAGGAGATGATTCTTGGCCTGTACCTACATTTGCTCACCTCTGCAATAGCTGAATGCTCTCTGATAGGTCTTTCAATTACAAAATTACTTCTTTGTGAGCAGTCAGACTCTGTAGAGCATAAGACAGCAGTTGACAGCAGGTTGATTAGAGCTCTTTGAGTCAAAGGTTGCTTTCAAAAAAATACTGAGTAGGAAGGCTCCAGTAATTCTTCATTACATCGGCAGTTACCAAGTTCCCAAGCAATACTGAAAATAACTTATTTACCATAATATAATAATTTAGAAAACACTATTGAAAAATCTTACTCAAAGTAGGACCATGTCAGGCAACAACACCATTAGCTGGGTTCCAGCCAGCAAGCCTATGTGTTTAAGGATCTAATCATATGAATTTTAATATCTGAGAAGCGTATTTCATATTTAGGGAAAGAGGAAGGAAAAGGAAAAAGCAGCAGTGTTTCAAAGACTAACAAACGTTACCATATGAATTTTCACAAACAAGTTTCATATAAAAATTACATGACTGTGTCAAAAAGATCATGTTTCTCTCAGACGAATCTACTAGCAAGTGATACAAATTTTGCACTGTTCCACTGGACAGATTTTGCTGGATTTATGATCTGTCAGTCAACCTGACAGTAGGCTACTTACCAGCTTTGAAGTTCTCAAGAAGACAGTCACATCTCCCACTAATAAAACTTTGCTTTAAGCATAACAGCATACACCTTAGCTCTTGTTTTCTAAGCACAGATTTGAACATAAAAGTTATCGTAAATGTTTTACAATGCTTGAAAGTTAATTCACCCCAAAATTCTTGTTAAAAGTCACCTTCCTAAAGATAACACTGTATAGAGTTACATTTTCACATTACTAGAAAGAAAGTACAACATGAGACAAAGGAAAGCACAGAGGAAATGGTATTTCCTGGTCTAATATGAAAAAAAGTATTTGGAAAAATATCCGAAGCCTTAACCTACTTACAGTTCAGATGTTAGGTGGAATGTAAGCAGACCTTTTTTTTCCAAGACTGCAGCTACTAGCATCTACAACTGCTAATATTTGAAAAATATGCCTACACTTTGCACCATTTTTTAAACAGAACTAGCATAAATTGCTGCAAAAAACAGAGCCATTCCTGAATCTCAACCCAAAATATAACCTTAAAATTAAATAGATCTAGACATGCTTATCTTTACAAAACAGGCTGAAAACAAACAGAAAATTTGAATATACTGTTGTTTTCTAAGAATGCAAGATTCAATGTTGCATTTCATTGTTCACTGAAATCTAAGTCTTCAGCTTGGTTCTTAAGCAGTCATCTACTTTTTTTTCTAAAAAAGTGTCAGTATAGCTAGCGGAGCACTGGACTATCGTTCACGTCACTTTGCAACGCCTTGGTGAGAAGTTAACTCTCAAATTGGATGTACAGGTAGGCACCTATGAGTTTTTGTAGTTTAATCACACTGTCAATCCACATGCTGACCTGAGCTGTCACTGAAGTTAATGTTCAGCCTTCTGTGTGAACTTCAATACCAAATTCAAGACCAAATGTCTCTGTAGAGGTAGAAAGGGATTTCTGTGACATTTCTGTAAGAGGGAAATATGCAGCATACAAATGTCTAAAGGTCAGTCTACAGAAAAATTCAAAACCTTTCAAAACCTTTGAACTCCTATTTAATTTTAGTGACAATCTTCTGTCAGCTATTCTTGCATTTACACTGCCTAACTGCACTGATTCAGTTGCCCAGTTGCAAACACTTTGCACTTGTCTCCTGTTGTACTTGGGGAAGTAACCACATACTCTGTGATCCAATGTGATGCACAGCCAAACTCACTGTATATATGCCAGGCTGGGAGGAGCACGTGCTTTGAGCACACTCTTGTGGCGATGTGCACCCACATCAAAATTATAGTTGAGAAGAACACAGGATGGCATGCAGGCATCTTGGACTGGCTTATGTCGCAAACGAGGCCTTTAGCCACAAGTTACAAATGGAGCAAATTAAGCACCAGAGGAGACCTACTGCAGAAACATCATTCCTTGAGCCTGGTATTTGGAAAGAGCTTTTATCAAGAAAAATGCTCCATTGAAAATACAGTGCAAAACAGAGCCAGCCAGAGAAGGCAGTGGTTACTTTAGTGCTTGAGGGCCTCCACCTTCCTGCTTCCTCATTCCTCTCCAGAGAGGAAAGAACACACTTGCTTCCTCTTTCTATGACACCTGAAGTGCTGCATATCTTAGGAAGAAGATAAAATACAACCCTATTCAATTATCATCATTTAAATACTGTCTGTACTGGAATATAAGTTGCATCTCCATCCTCATTCCGTGGCTAACTTCATGTGACCTTCACAGGTGCTTTCTTGTGTGCACAGAGGAGGGTGACGTAGGGAACCCCAATGAACGCCCATCTTTCACTGGGCCAGAACTTTATGACAGGGCCCTGCTCGGGGATCTCAGAGGCAGCATCGAAGTAAGCAAAGCAGACACAGCCCAGGTACGCCGCAAGACAAATCAAAATGTGCCTAAGAATAGACACCCACCCCCGCCCCCCCAGAAAAAAGGAAAAATAAGTAACATGACTTCAGTAAAGCAATCAAACATCTCACCAAGCTTTATAATCAGTCTATCCATCTTCTTCCCCTGACTATCCCCCCGAGGGTTGCTGGCTGCCTTTTGCATACAGGCAAAGAATACAGAAAATAAAGAAAACAACAAAACCATAGCTTATCCTTGGTCTAAACTGGCTGCAGCTTTTTTGCCTCTCTGCACACGACAGATCTGAGTAGAAATGCTGAGATATGGTATCTTGAATAAGAGAGCACAACTTGCCAAGTGGTAAAAGAGAAAAAGCACCAAAGTCCCTCACTGCTCCCCCACTTCACCTCAGTTGTTAACAGTGGAAGTTTAAGCTTCCAATTGAGCAGTGCTGCAGAATTTTCAGTAACCAGTAGAGCAAGGAATTCGGCTAGAATTAATGAACTTAGTGTCTGAAGAATCTGATCAAGCCAGGGAGACTCCTAAATCTAACACCTTGGATAGCATGAGACTTGCTCTGACGTATAATCTTAACAGTAATCCTATGAAGCCTTAACCAGAAATAGCCACCAGACTGCACAGAAGGGTAATGTGCCCTTGTGGCTAAGAAGGCCAGTGGTATTCTGAGGTCCATGAGGAAAAAGCACTGCCAGCAGGTTGCGGGATGCGATCCTCCCACACTACTCTGCGCTCATGAGGCTGCATCCACAGTACTGTGTCCAGGTCTGGACTCCTCAGTACAAGACAAGGAGCCACTGGAGAGAGTCCAGTGGAGGGCTACAGTGACGATTAGAGGACTGGAACATCTCTGATGAGGAAAGGCTGAGAGGGCTGTGCCTGTTCAGCCTACAGAAGACAACTGAGAGGGGATCTACCAATGCACACAAATATCTTCAGGGCCAGTGTCTAGAGGATGGGGCCAGACACTTTGCAGTGGTGCTCAGCAACAGGATGAGGGGCAACGCGCATAAACTGGAACACAGGAGCTTCTATCTGAATATGATAAAGAACTTCTTTACTTTGAGGGTGGCAGAGCACTAGGACAGATTGCCCAAAAGATGTGGAGTCTCTTTCTTGGGAAATATTCAAAACCTGCCTGTACACAATCCTGTGCAACCTGCTCTAGGTGAACCTCCTTTATCAGGGGGATGATCTCCAGAAGTCTCTTCCAACCCCAACCATGTTGTGATTTTGTAACGTGGTGACAATATATTATATTCTAATCAAACTCTGGACTTTATACACAACACTTACCACACACAGTGCAAATAAGGGAAATTAAATGAGGACCAGGTCTCACAAAATGCTTTGTCACTGATCCAGCAGAAAAGTGCTAGCGTCCACCAAAGGCCTGAAAAGAGGCCCAGTTTGTACACACGTAGGTTTTCACATCTAAGGAAGAAAACACAAAGAAGTTGTTATGAAACAATGTAAAATTTGCTTTGTAATGTCAGCTTGATGATTTTTGGCCATACATATTTTAGGGTAGGATTCATAATGCCGTCTTTAATATGGCTCCACAATAAATGTCTTTAATAGAGACACTTTACTTACAGTAAATATGGCTCTGATGCAAGGCAGTGGCAAGGTAACAAACCAAACCTTCCAATCAGTAGATGTGTTTTGGGTATTCTACGAAAGACCAATCTGCAAATGGTGGGCAAACATCAAAGCATTCCCATACGCATGGAGGGGCATCTAGGACCTACTAACTAGTGACTGGTAGTTACACATGCTGTCTGCGAACAATCAGCCACACAGGAAGTGCTCAGATTTGTTGGTATTTGTCGTGGTTTAAAACCAGTCAGGCAGCTCATTTACTCACTCCCCCCCCCTTCTTTCCCTCCCCCTACTCCCGGAGGGACAGGGACGGAGAGGAGAATCGAAAAGAATGCATCTCCCACGGGTTGAGATAAGAACAGTTTAGTAACTAAGGTATAACACAAATCACTACTGCTACCACCAATGATAATAATGATAAAGGAAATAACAAGGGAAGAGAATACAACACCTCATCACCCGCTGACCGATAACTCGCCCCCTCCAGCCCGACCAAGCTCTCCCCGATACCTTGTCCAACCCCGAAGTCCACTAGCCCTTCCAGGTAACTGCCCCCAGTTTATATACTGGACGTGACATGCTGTGGTATGGAATACCTCTTTGGCTAGTTTGGATCAGGTGTCCTGTCTCTGCTTCTTCCCAGCTTCCCCTCCTCCCTGGCAGAGCATGAGGCTCAGAAAGTCCTTGGTCAGACTAAAACATCAGTGTTATCAGCTCTATTCCCAGGCCGAAAGTCAAAACACAGAGCTGCACCAGCTACTAAGAAGGAATAAAAATGACTGCTACTGCTGAACCCAGGACAGTACTTGTCACTATACAGAGACTGGTAAAAAAAGGAACTGGATGACAGTTTTTTTAGTTGGTTAATTCCTATCTCCTAAAGCAGTCCCACATCTACTGATCAGATGACAGAATAATTTGCTTAAAGTGACTTGTTTGAAGTACATGTCAACAGTAAACCAAAAAGCCAAATCTCTAGTCAGTGTAACAAGGAATACTCAAACTTTGTGAGGATTGCAGGCCCCTGTCTTCTGTATTGTAGAAAAAAAACAAGTCAATGCCAATCACCCCACAATCACTTCCTCTGTCCCAAGGTCTTCAAGAGGGGCTTCTCTATTCCACACTCATCTTCTACGTCTTACACTTCTGTCATGAATATATTGGGAATGTCTCTTCCCCTTCATCAGATCAGCAGCCAACTCTTCTCTCTGCTCCAATCTAGCCATCCCAGTAGATTTGACACTGAATCACAAGTCTTCTTCCACACAATTCCTGGGACAATTCACTGCATCTGAAGACGAGAAATGCCTGGCAAACAGGTCTTTTAAAGGGACACTTTACATTGTGACACTCATAAGCAATAAAAATGTGTATCCTTGAAGGAGGGAGCTTGAATAGTCAAACATGTCTTTACTGCCTGTATTGCAGTAGTATTTATGCTCCCTAATCTTTATACACAACTGTCCTTGACAACAGACTAACACAGTGCAACACAGGCCAGAAAGCAATTTGGTCTTCCTGTCTTTCACACAAAATACTTGTCAGCCTGAAACCTGATGTTCTCATTTGATATATTTAGAGAGTTCTAACTTTTCCAACACTTACTGCTAATTGTCTGCATGGCCCTACACAGCCTACAAGCCACAGGCTACCCTGCATTCAGTGTCAGGGAAGTAGTAATGCCAGCTCGTCCCAAGCTAAAATATATCACTACACCCTCCAACACAAAGATGATCTCCAGCTACTCAGCTGTAGAAGGACAGAAGAGAATAACTCCTGTCTCTCTGTGGTAGAAAAGCAGAACTGCCACTAGTAGCAGAGTTTAGCTAAGGTGTCCTATTTCAGCTGTAACAGTGATTTTCCTCCTTCCTAGCAGCTGGTGCAGTGCTGTGTTTTGGCTTTAGTCTGCGAACAATGCTGGTAACACACAGAGATTTTAGCTGTTACTAAGTAATGCTTACTCTGATCAAAGATTTTTCAGTCTCTCATGCTCTGCCAGTAAGGAGGGGCACAAGAAGCCAGAAGGAAGCAGAGACAGGACACCTGACCCAAACTAGCCAAAGAGGTATTCCATACCACAGCATGTCATGCCCAGTATATAAACTGGCGGAAGACACCCAGAAGGGCAGATCAGTACTCAGGCAGGGCTGGATATCGGTCGGCAGGTGGTGAGCAATTGTGTTGCACATCACTTCTGTTTATGGGGGCTTTTTTTCCTTTCACTTTTTAGCTTTATATTCTCTCCCCTTGTTATTTGCCTTATTGTTATTGTTAGTAGTAGTAGTAGTTTTGTATTATACTTTAGTTATTGGACTGTTCTTATCTCAGCCCAGGGGGTTTACACTCTTTTGATTCTCCTCCCCATCTGTGTCAGTGACAATGGATAATGGTCCATGGTGAAACACACAAAACCAGAAAAGTACTGTTTGGCACAGTTTGTGGGAACATCACCTTCAAAATAGGGGAGTTAACAGGGCTGTTAGAAAAAGCGAGTCTTATACCAGTAAACCTCTGTTCACATGCTGGCCACATGTGCGCTGATGTTGCAACTTGTAATTTTCCACTCCAACACAAGGGGGGATATAAGCACCTGCGCAGGGATGGATGGGTGAGAAGGACAGATGAGCACCTTGATTCAGGGGACGCCCTACCAACACACTGCCTACCACCCCTCCGACCAGGCAACATGTTCCATCTCCTTCTCCTGCTCAGCAGTATCCCATTCAACCAGGGGTTGGTATGTATGTAACCTGCTTTGCATTAATACAAAAATATCTGCTTTGCACTAATAATAAATAGCCTAGAGCATTTGATTGCTTACATTGTGTTTGGTGTCCAGTCTTTGCTCATGGGAATGCTAGGTATTGCAACATAACTGGTGACAAGTATGGGATTCCGGGTCTGTGAGATTGTGAGAAACATTTTGGGATAATACGAGTAGAGTGGGGCCGTGTAGTGGAGTGCACAGCTATCGGATCGTGCCACACCTTAGTGGGGCCGTGTAGCGAGTGCACAGCTACTGGATCGTGCCACGCCTTGGTAGTTGTGATAGGGTTGTGTATTAACAAACTAGTTGTACTCCTTTATTGTGTTTCATTTCTCTCAACCCGGAATCCCGGATTCTCACAGTACAAACAGTGCAGACTGAGAACAGGGCCTGGGCAATGGGGCGCAGAGCTGCACCAAGAGGAGCTGTTCTGTGTGTGTGGAAGCGCGGCTTGGTCTGTGTGTGTGCTGTCAGGGTTGCTTTAAGGTTGTTGTGTCATATACTATTGCTATATTTCATAGGAAAGAGCCTTGGGCCGTGGCTCCTCCTGTGGAGTGGCCAGGGTGTACACAGGAACCATGAAGCACATTGTGGGATAAAATAGAGACTTGCACTAATGTAGGACCTGAACCATGGGGAGCTAAGGACCCCACAGGAGTGCTAAAGTATTGGGGTGAGTTTGTAGAAACCACCCATACCCACTTGAAGGAGTGACCGAGTCATGCTGGACACATGACAGGCTGCTTGCTGCTTGCCTACAAAGGCATGGTAGATAAGAACACAGAGTTGCAGCAACAAGTAGCTGATTTACATTCCAAGCTAGAAAGGGACACAGCAGAATTGCTGTTGCAGAGGCAGGCATTTATAGCCGCTGCGTCGCAAAAAAAAAAGAGCAATAAAAAAGATACCAGGGCAGTGAGGCCATGGGTCCATGCCCTTGTGTCTGATCCTGACTGGGACCAGGAGACACAGAATGGAGATATTTGGGGTACCCCTGAGTCAGAATCAAATACCGCAGATGAGACAGACATGAAAAAGAAAGCAGCCTGCAAATCTCCTGTGTTTAAATGTAAGATGATTACCAAGGCAAATAGACAAGTAAGAACAGATGAATCGACAGACTATAGTCTTGAGGAGATTAAGAACTTATTGGATAAACTGAAGCAAAGGCCAGGGGAGACACATCAGAACTGGCCAGTTTGCCTCACAGAGGACGGAGCAGATACTGTGTTGCTAGATGGGGTGGATGCAAAAAACCCCATACTACCATAGAACAAGGAAAACCCATTGAACAAGTGACTGAAAAGCTAAGCCAGTTAGGGAATTCACCAGGACTTGCCTTGGACAAAGCAGCTCATGATAAGGGCAGAGTAGAAAAGGAGGAGATATAAACAACTGCAAGCCATCCTGTTCCTGTTACGTGGATAATTGAAGAATTGCTGATAGTGCACCTGGGTCTTGAGCAGGCCAGGGAGTGTTTGTGTGCACGGGTGCCAGGCTGGGCTGGGAAACAGCCTGAGGAGTGACTGTTTATAGAACAGAATTACAGGGACTGAAGACAGTCACTGTGATTGATGTGGTTTCTGTTTGGCTTCATAGCTCAGATCTAAGCCCTCTAGAGTTCCAGCAGGCCACTTGTGTTGCTGTTTGGGCCTGGAGAAGAGTGCCTGGATAGGGGCAGGGAGACTACTTCTTTAGCAGGTGTTCACCTGGGGGTCTTTTATATACCGACTGGACAATGCTATACAAAGGCAGATTGAGGGTCACGGGGCTGCTTGTGCACTTCTGTTAGCATATGAGGGTGCAGGTGTGGGGGTGTGGGGATTGCAGGGCTGTGTTAGCCCCAGTCAGACGAAAATTTACAGACATTGCCGAGTTGACTGGGGCAAGTTGGGACGTTGGAGCAGAGGCTTGTAGGGCTCCTGTATTGGCTGCTGCATTAATTATTCTGTTTTTATTGGTCATATTAGGTCGCATTCCAACCTGTTTGGCCCTTTAACTGTGGGTAATGACATAGCTAACTCCTTGACTGTTAACACTCTGCAGTTCACTTCTGCAGCTGCTT